GAACCAGTCTTTAATGTATTTTGGGGTTTAAAAGCCACTGGGACGTTGTGTTTAGAAAATAAACGTCTCAGTTTCTCTGATACCCCCTCAACATCTGGAATGACCACTGGTCTGGGTCTGGGTTCCTCCTTTTCACCTGATGGCTGACTGGAGTCCTGTTTGGGTTTCTTCTTTCAGGAAGGCCCAGTTAGGATATCCACATTGCTCTAGAGCCTGTCTTGTGTAGGATTTCTCCTTCTGCCTGGCTCCTGAGCTAGTGGGGACGCTGTCTGCTCTGTGGTACAGAGTCCTGATGACTCCTAACTTGTGCTCCAAAGGGTGATGGGAGTCAAACTGCAAATACTGGTCTGTGTGGGTGGGTTTGTGGTACACCTCAGTTTGCAAATGTCCTAAGATTATTTGTTGTTATTGGTGGTGTGGTGATGCTTTCAGGGGTTAGCAAAACTTCTCCACGAACATTTGAGGCGTTTCCCTGAACCCAGAAGTCACAAAGTTTAATCAAATGTATTCTAGTAAAGTATTCAACTAAAGGTTTGTTGTGACTTTCTCCCGCTAATTATCATTTTCACGGCTTCACTTCAGTTGGTTGTGCAGGCTGACGTCAGAGTTCCGAGCAACACCTGAACGCACCTATGTGGTAGGTGAGAGGAGCAGGTCCGGCTGCTTGAAATCCACCTCAGTCCAACCTGTCCATGTGCTCACGGGGTGAGTGTTTTTCCTGGTTTTAATTAAAAAACAAAGTGGTTTGTGCTGGAACCTCCTGAGCCCTCACGTGAACAGTGCGTCGACCTTTAAAGAGTTCTTTTGTGGTGTTCCCGCAGCAACCGTGCGTCCTTTAATCAGCTGTGCGGCTTTCAGAGGTCTGAGGCTGTTAAATGGAGCTGGAGGAGCAGTGGTGGAGAGGACAACTGGCTGCAGACATTTACCAGGCGCTCAGACACAAAGTGAGTCACATTTTGTCCCCCCACAACATCAAAGGATCCACATCAAAGAGACTAAAGTTACTTTTATGCCCCCCCCCCCCCCTTCATGCTTTTATTTTTTGGACGTGTAGTCCGAGCATGTAGGCCAGGGCTATTCAACTGGTGGCCTGGGGGCCTGAGTCAGGTCCACAGGTGAGCTCAGGTCGGCCCACCAGCGGGTTCATTTGAAATAAAACTAATTTTAATCATAAAACAAATTTGATGAGAAGAACTGCTGGACGTCCCCCCCCCCCCCCCCTGAGCTCTTGGCTTTCAGTAACTGTGGCCCCCTGAGCAGTTTTTATTTTTCTTTTTAATTGTATTTATTTATTTTAGTTTGTTTCCCAGAGACGTGTGGAGCTCTTCAGGTGTGCACCAAAAACAAGCCTGGGCTGCAAAATTAGAAATCAACGAAACACTAGTTCGCACTTTATTGTTTATTTATCATATGCAGATTAACAACGATGCAATGACATGTTCCAGGTGAGAAGAACCGTTTCGACTTGCTAAAAGGAAAAACAACTTTATTCACTTCACTGACTAAATCTGTTTTGTTGTTTTTAGCTGCAAACCGTTGCAACAAAGTCTATAATGCCCATCATGTACAAAACAATAATAATGTAATTGATCGTAAATCGCCCTAAATGTGTTGAAACATATTTGTATTCTTGAGGATTTGAACTGCGCTTCGTGAACACCACCGAGAAGAGGTGAACCGTTTATGACCTGAGCTAAAGTCGACGAGTGAATTTAAAAGTTTGAAGCACTTGTAGCTGAGCTGGTGGACAGCCGTGCACAGTTCACCCTCCATGGACACAAACAGTTTGTTGATTGACAGCCTGGAGGCGGGACGACTGACGGTCTGTCCAACACGACTGCTCCGTGGTCCATTCAACACTTGAGCTTCAGCTCTGAGCAGAAGGCAGAGACACGTTGTCTTTTATCGGTGTCCAGAGTTAAACAGCTACAAATGTTTCCTGTTGAAGGTTCTCAAAGCTCCTCAGGGTCATGCAGCTTTTGATTATCGTTAGGAGGAGCCTCTTCAGAGGGATCCAAGTAAAGCTCAGGTCTCAGGAGGACGTCTGTCCATGTTGTCCAACAGGAGCTGAAGTTGCCGTCCTACAAAGGCCAGTCCCCTCAGCTGAACTTCAGGCGGTACTTCGCGGACCTCGTCGCCATCATCAGCAACCACTTCCGGCTCTGCCCCGCAGCCAGACACCTGGCCGTCTACCTGCTGGACCTCTTCATGGACCGTTATGATGTCACGGTGCAGCAGCTCCACATGGTCTCCCTCTCCTGCCTGCTTCTGGCGAGTACGTGCCGTCCTCTCACCTCACGACTGACAGCTTTCTGCACACATGAGCGTAAATGTTCCTTCGCTGCAGGTAAATTCGAGGAACGTGAGGACCGGGTGCCAAAGCTGGAGACCTTGAACAGCCTGGGCTGCATGAGCTCCATGAACCTGGTCCTGACCAAGCAGGGTTTGCTCCACATGGAGCTGCTGCTGCTGGAAACCTTCGACTGGAACCTGTACCTCCCCACAGCAGCTCATTTTATCGAATACTATCTGTCTGTGGCGGTCCATGAGGGGGACCTGCACGACGGCTGGCCTCTGAGCAGCTTGGAGAAGACCAGGCTGTACATGGACAAGTACTCCGACTACTTCCTGGAGGTCTCCCTACAAGGTACAGGTCGTTTTACCTTTACAGCACAAAGACGATGACAGAAGAAACATTAAGAGCTATTTGAAGTGAGGTTTGAAGAAACTGACAAATAAAGGACAGAGTCAAACGGACACGAACGTAAAGGTTTAGATCAAAGTGTTTGCAGGAACTCGTGAACTTTTCTAGACTTGAAGTGAAAATTGGAAAACTTCTGGTATTCCAGCAGATATTCCAACATTCTGTTCTGCCTCATCCCTCAAACTACATTACCCACAATGCCACCATTTAACAGGAAAAGCTGAGAAAACATAAAGAAAATTATAATTTTCAAATAAATATTTAAATAATTTTGATGACAAGTTTTAAGTTCTGAACACCAAACTAAAATAAGAGAAAAGAAAAAAGAACAGTTCAACATGAATTTGTTCATTCAGTTTGTTTTGCATTTTATTTCATATTTATTACATTTGATAGGTTGTAAGTTTATTTGTAGTATTTTTGTGCAGTTACTGTAAAATGCAGGTTGTTTTAAAATAAGTCTAGTTTTTACAATAAGTGCCCGTGTCGTGTTTTCAGACCACGTGTTTCTGTGTTTTGTGCCGTCGCTGGTGGCCGCCGCCTGCGTGGCCGCCTCGCGCCTCATCCTCCACCTGGCCCCGACCTGGCCCCCCCGGCTGCAGCACCTCACGGGCTACACCTGGGAGCACCTGGTGCCGTGTGCAGAGAAGCTCCTCGTGTGCGTATCTCATGGAAAGGTCCATGTACCAAGAACGCTCAGTCAGCGTCGCTACGCTACTTTTAGCTTTTAGCTGTTGTTGTCTTTCAGCTGTTCTCTCATCTGGAGTCTCCACAACAAGTCCTTCTCCATCTGTCCTCACTCTGACTCTAACATCCTTCTACCAATAACCACTGTCCCTCCTCTGGACGTGTCCAAACCACTGTCCCTCCTCTGGACGTGTCCAAACCACTGTCCCTTCTCTGGACATGTCCAAACCACTGTCCCTCCTATGGACGTGTCCAAACCACTGTCCCTCCTCTGGATGTGTCCAAACCACTGTCCCTCCTCTGGACATGTCCACACCATCTCAGTGTCTCCTCTCTAACTTTATCTCCCAGTTGTTCAACCTGTGCTGTACCTCTGATGATCTCATTCCTGATCTTCTCCATCCTTGTCTCTCCTAAGAAGAACCTCAACATCTTCATTTCTGACACTTCCAGTTCTGTCTCCTGTCTTTTTGTCCATGTCTCTGTCTCCAGACCATACAACATAGCTGGTCTCACCACTGTCTTGTAAACATTCCTTTGATCTTTGCTGACACCCTTTTGTCTCAAATCACTCCTGGACCTTTTCTCCATCACTCCATCCTGCCTGGACTCTCTTCTTCTCCTCTTAGCTATGATTTGGCTCATTTTAGCCACTGTTTCGTTGGTTTTAGCTTCTGTCCTGCTCTCCTTTAACCGTTCATTCTTACGTTCGGTGTTTGGACTGTTGTCACAGAAAATGCAGTTTCTCCAGTTGATTAACTCAGATTTGCTTCTTGGTGTTTATTTCTCTGTTAAAAAGAATGAAATGGTAGAAAAGCCTCTTTAACTTACAGTAAAGTCTTTGTCTCCCCCCCTCCCCTCCCCCCAGCGCACATGACAGTGATGTCAAAGAGGCCAATGAGCAGAAGGGCCCTCAGGTCGGCCATCAGAACCAGGTGCTGTTCCACGGTTCAGCCCAGACCTCCACCGTGACGCAGTACCTGCACCTGCCCGGCGTGCAGTACCCTCAGCCGGGCCTGGCCCCCGGCTTCATGCCCCCGTCCTTCCTCCCCACCTCCGGCCTGCAGGCTCAGCACGGCAGCGCCACCTCGCTGGATGCAAAGCCCGGCCGGGCCTACCAGGTGCAGTTCAGCTGCACGGCGCCGTGCTTCGACAGATGACACGTTCGGCGTCGTTTCTGTTGCAAGATGAGAACCGACCATGTTTTGTTCTTGAACGCAACACTGAAGGAGGAAAAAGTTGTTTTTAATTTCCAGAGACGTGATGAGATTTGTGCAGCACTTTGAACCGTGTGCCTGCGTGTGTATGCGTGTGTGTGTGCGTGCGTGCATGCGTGTGTGTTTCGTGCAACACGCCTGCTCTGCTGCAGTTCCTGTGGGAAGACGCTCGTTTCAGCGTGTTTGTTATACGGAGGGTAAATGTCGTAGCGAGGCGCTTTGAGGCGCCGTGTTCTCCACTGGTGTCGCTGCAGTCTCTGTTTTTGTTTGTTTGTTTGTTTGTTCTGAAGCATCGGATGCACAAATGAAGCCGAGACTGTTGCGCTAAGTTCAAAAAGAACAGCAACAAAAAGGAGATCTGTCAGTTTGTGACTGAAATAAGAGTTTTTGTTTGTTTTTTAAATTATTGTTTGGTTAAATGTCACAGGAAACGACAGAACACTGTTAATGTCACAGTTATTATTATAATTATTATTTATCTGTGCATGGAGGGTTTCAGTGTCGCTGCTGTTCTCTTCGACGATTGTTTTAAAGAAAGTACAAACCTGCGTTTAGACGCTCGGAGGATTTGTTTGGAAAAGGTGATGGTGCCGAGTACTGATTAAAATTTTGTCATATTTATGACATAAAAATATTCTATAAACCAAAGTTTTTCCTCGTTTGTTTCAATGTTTTTTTCCTGTTTGCATTTGTCGTGTTAGCAAAATATCTCATATAGATTGTAATGAGACTCGTATCGGGGGATGTACGTCTACAACTCACTAACATTTGTTGTCAGCCCAGTTCAAGATGGCCGCCACAGCCAGCTGACATTAATAGACACAAAATGGCATGAGGTGTGTGGCTCAACGAGAACAATGTGATGAAATTAGCAAAAAATAAAAAGACCTTTACTGTCATGGCACCTGAACACAACTAAATGTGGGTTTGCTTCCAGAGCAAAAGTAAAAACTGAAATATAAAAGTAAACTGTATAAAAGGTAATAGTTACAGATTTGAAACACTCCAGTTGTGCAACACAAGCAGATTGATATTCCACCAGTTGTCCCTTATTGCACTGATTCAGTTTTTATTACAGTTTTTTAGTTCAGCAACGGCTGACGGATAAACATTGTTTTTAAATCTTTAATCTTTACTTTAAATCTTCAATTAAAAAAAGAAACTGTCCAGATGACCTGACTGAAAAATGTTGGATTTTATACCTGGATTATTGAGCATGAACTTTGTTGTTTTTAAATCTGTTTGTTCTTGTCTTGATTGATCTGAACCTTTTCCCTGACGGTAACAGGTCAAACATGTCCAGGGTGACACGTGTCCTTTCACATGTTTTGGGTTTTCCCTGTGCAGCAGGAACTGTGTAAATCTTTCCCCTGCACCAATCGGTCACTTGTTCCATCCCCGTCCCTGTAAGTGGACTCATCCCCCCACCTCACCACTATGATGTCGTCTGCAAATTTGGCCATGGTGTTGCTGTGGTGAGCAGGTGCAGTCATGTGTAGAGGGCACTGAGCAGGGGCTCAGCACACAGCCCTGTGGAGCTCCCGTGCAGAGGCTGAGGGCCATAGTTGTGTGACGGCCCATTCTCACTGCAGTCTGACAGGAAACTTTACCCACGTGAGGGTGGAGTGGAGGAAACTGAAGATTTCCCTGCTGGCATCAATGGGATTTAATGAGAGTTGAAGCCCGACCCGTTCGGGTCTCCAGCTCAGACCTCCCAGCAGAACCATCATTCAGGGTTTAAACGGGTCACAGGAAGTTTTCTTGTCTTGAGCTTGTTTTACACAATCAGGTTTGAAACAGTTTGATTTAAACACAGAACAGGTCACTCTGATTTTTGAGCTTTTTAAATTTAAAAATTCACCTTTTTCTTCCGCCCAGCGTCTCTGCTGTAGAACTGATGGTGTCCACTCAGATCCCGCCAGAGGTCAAAGGTCATTGACTTCCACTGTATCTGAGATCAGAAACTTGTTCCCAACAGGAAGTGAAGCCTCATTTTAACTTCTCACATCTCTGTAACACTCCGTTAAAACCCGATGACTGTGTGACGGCCGACGCTTCGAGGATTCCTTTGACTTTTACTTTTCACACAAACACTTTGGAAAGAGCGAGAATTAAAAGACGTCTCAACGTTTCAAACGGAGCTCTGTCTCTCCACAGTCCGTTCAGCACCGTGCGTGGCTGAAAACCATTAAAACTTTATGGAAACACTCAAATCAGAACGTTTGAATCGAACACGTCTGTTTTGGATCTTTGGTTTGATTTGATTCTGAACATTGACGCTCAGTTAAACAAGTGAAAAATAATTTAACAAACATTAAAACATGAACGTGCTTCACTGACAGTTTGACAAAACAAAAGAACGCTGGACGGGGTGTGTTGTGTGTTCTGATTTGCTGCTTTTTAAATTTAATTAAAAAAAAGCTGCTGAGGGGAGAACTGCAGGGTACTGTGCTGCCAAGCCTTTTATACATTTTATGTTAATTTAGACCAAAGCTCAATGAAAGCATAAAACTAACTCCATAATCCTATCATCAAAATGACTTTATGTCCGTTTAGTCTAGCCTAAAAAGATAAATCAGGATTTATTGATGTGGACACACCAGAATAATCCAAAGAGTTCTGCTCCGAGCTTATTTGAGACGTTGCATAAGTGTGTTTCATAACCAGACGTCTGAATGTAGACAGGATGTTCGTTCTGTGATCAAAGCTTCTCAAACTGTTTACAACTAATGACGTTCTTTTCTTACATTTAAAACCGCAGAATGCAGAAATGTGCACACAGTAGTTTGATTCATAAAACTAATTTACAGAACCCTTACTGAGGAGGCACCTCATCAAAGGTTACATTTATTCTTTGTCATTTTTTATGAAATGTGGCCATCAAAATGAAATACTGAAGACAAGCGAAAACAGGCGAGACTAAAAGTCTGACTATTTTCTCATCGACAGAGGAAATAAAGAGTTATTAGGAGCGCCAACACGTGAGCACGTATTCAGACAAATATTTTCTCACTGACTCCTGCTTCTACAAGGACTGACACTTTTTTATTCTTACATCGTATCGTGGGTGTTTTGGTTTCATTTCACTCGGTGTCTCTGCTGTACGGCTGATTTTTGTTGAAATCCCCCCAGAGTCCAGAAAGCACACACCCAAACTCTCACTGACTTCCACTGTATCTGTGCTCTGAGTTTTCTGTCTAAAAAAAAGAAACATCTTTTAAACTTCCAACATCCTTCAGTCAGCTCATCTGGACAGTTTCTTTTTTTGTGCTGAAACGTTTCGCCTTCGATCCAGAAGGCTTCATCAGTCAAGGAAACACACAACAAAACTGATTCTTCCTCCAACAGCTTACTCCAAAGTGGAACAAACCAGTTCTGCTTGTGATAAGATGGTCTCTTTGGTACGCCCCTCCTCCATTGCCGGCCTCTTCCTTGTTGTTAGTCGTGTCAAACTGGTTGAAAACAACAAAGTTGTTGTGTGTTTCCTTGACTGATGAAGCCTTCTGGATCGAAGGCGAAATGTTTCAGCACAAAAAAAGAAACTGTCCAGATGACCTGACGGAAAAATGTTGGATTTTATACCTGGATTATTGAGCATGGACTTTGTTATCTTTTAAACTTCTTCTGAAAAAAAACATACATAGAAATAAATGAAGGGTTTTTCTGTAATTTAAAGAAAAGTGGGCGAGAAGGGCTTGTACCGATTGGCGAGACAGAGGGATTAGGCTGGAAAGGATGTGCAGCAGGTTAGGCTTGTTAATGATAGGAATGGGACATTTATGAGGACAGCAGAACATGTATGAGGACAGCAGGACATGTATGAGGACAGCAGGACGTGTATGAGACAGCAGGACATGTATGAGGACAGCAGGACGTGTATGAGGACAGCAGGACGTGCATGAGGACAGCAGTACATGTATGAGGACAGCAGGACAGTGGTGAGATGTGCTGTAGGAGTGACAGATAGCTTCAAGGTGGAGGTGGGAGTGCATCAAGGATCGTCTCTGAGCCCCTTCTTGTTTGTTCTGGTGATGGACCGACTAACAGATGAGGTCAGGCAAGAATCCCCGTGGACTATGATGTTTGCAGATGACATTGTGATCTGTGGCGAGAACAGGAAACAGGTGGAAGAGAACTTGGAGAGGTGGAGATATGCACTTGAAAGAAGAGGAATGAAAGTCAGTCGTAGTAAGACAGAGTCCATGTGTGTGAATGAGAGGGAGGAGGTGGAACAGTGAGGCTACAAGGAGCAGAGGTCACAAAGGTGCAGGACTTCAAGGACTTGGGGTCCACTGTCCAGGAACATGGGGAGTGTGGTGAAGAGGTGAAGAAGAGAGTCCAGGCAGGATGGAGTGATGGAGAAAAGTTTCAGGAGTGATTTGTGACAAAAGGGTGTCAGCAAAGGTCAAAGGAAAAGTTTACAAGACAGTGGTGAGACCAGCTATGTTGTATGGTCTGGAGACAGAGACATGGACAAAAAGACAGGAGACAGAACTGGAAGTGTCAGAAATGAAGATGTTGAGGTTCTCCTGAGGAGAGACAAGGATGGAGAAGATCAGGAATGAGATCATCAGAGGTACAGCACAGGTTGAACAACTGGGAGATAAAGTTAGAGAGGACACACTGAGATGGTTTGGACATGTCCAGAGGAGGGACAGTGGTTTGGACATGTCCAGAGGAGAGACAGTGGTTTGGACATGTCCAGAGGAGGGACAGTGGCTTGGACATGTCCAGAGGAGGGACAGTGGCTTGGACATGTCCAGAGGAGGGACAGTGGTTTGGACATGTCCAGAGGA